CATAGCTTATAGTTTTCATTCAGCCACAGTTTGGCAACACAAACAACAAATCAGCAAGCGATTGTTTACGGCTACTGGCACAGCAGCAGACACTGGTGCCACATCGTAAAGAAAGTGAATAAAAGATACTATGCATGGCTAGCGATCGCGCAAAGCGAATATCAGTATTCCTTTACTTTCATGATTGGACTATTTTGGCGTCTTTTACTTTTTCATAAAGTTCATCCTGCGGTGTTGATGTGCATTTTTCTCTTTAGCTGGGAGTGCAGAGTGTACAGTCATGTAGCAAACATAATGTGTAGTCTTCCATTTCCTTCCTACAGAGTGGTTCTCATTTATGAACCTCGGAAGGAAGAAAGACGAGTCACCTACAGAGTCTCGAATTCGAAACTTATATCCATTCTGAAGCAATGTGTGGTAAATTCTTTGATTAAGGCAATTCGTGAATAAAACAAAAATTTTCCTCAGGTGGAACTCAACCTTGCAAGTCCAGAGTTCGAAGCAGATCTCTTAGACAAATGTGCCACTAAGCTACATATGCATTTAATTTCGATTAACAGTAAATTAATGTTGCAGGGGTAGATTTATCTCTTTCTTCACCTATGCATATTCATTGTCTTGTGCCAGTTTAATAGTTATTTTATGACTAAATACACAATGGCTTGTGTATACTCACAGATTTCGTTTATTTTGACTTTTTCGCGCTACAGGATGGCTAACGCCGCTTTTTGCCTATCTTTTGTTCAGTCCGTTTGTTTTGTTCGCAATCTCAATATGTCCCAAGCATTTGAGTTTCACTTTATGAATTTAACAATCAAATAATTAATATTTTGCACTAAACTATGATAACCGTAGGTGTAAAGATATGCTCTGATCGACGATAATGAATAAAATTAGAAAGAACGAATGAACACGCAGCTAAAACAGTTATTTCACAGCAAATTAGACCGAACTGGGTTCGTTGATCACTTCTTGATCTCTCAGAATGTGAAAGAAATCGGCTATCACTGTAAAAGAAATCTGTATAACTATATAACTGTAAGCGATCAGTATAACTGTAATTAATAATTGGAATGATGCACATGACCAAAGATTCATTTGCGGAAATGAGGTAAAAACAACGTCTGTGATTTGATTGATTGATTGATTGATTTGCAAAGCGAAACATGACAATTTCAGCGTAACTGAGCATTTTATTAATATATAATTACGATGTTGAACGATTATGGTAAAGTTTCACGCATTTCGTCATCGATATTTACAGTATCACCAACAGCTTAATCCTGACTTAGTTCTTTCACTGATTGGATCATGTAAAAATTCCTGATATCGTCTGCACCACTAATTCTTCAGCATCCTGCTTTATATTTCGTACTTTGTGTTTTAGAAATCTAATCAATTATATTATATTACTCGACGTGATCGTGTTATTGATAAGTATTTTGTATTTGTGGTTTATCAGTGATATCAGACTTTTTGTCTGATCGCTCATCAAAGAAAAATGTCATTCATTTATGGTTGATGAGGAAATTTTTTTTGTCTTTGGTTGTCCATCAGACGTGGTATGCATTGAAACCATGACAGGTTGTTGTTTTGTTTTAGCATTGAATGGGTAGAAATCGTGGAGCCGCGCACCAAGAAACACATGTTCGCCAACCTGACGACGGGCGAATGCGCATGGGATGCTCCGCATGGCGTCAAAATGTATCTCTTTTCGTTATTGTTTTCGTTTTTATCCTTCGCTGTTGCCTTCGTATTCTCTACCTTAACATAGACGCACCTTTTCTAGCCGGAAGACGCATCACAACCAATGGTGGGAACTGTATGATCAAAATACTGGTCGCTTCTACTATTACAATACGACCACACAAAAGACGGTCTGGAATCGTCCTCAGAATTGTGATATCATCCCTCTTGCAAAACTGCAGGTAAATAATTACTTACTCAGTGATTGGCTTACTGACGCACCGAGTGGCCACAATGACGGGTGTATTTCACCCCGCCTTTGGTCTTAGTTGGTTCGCTCGGCGACTTCCAGCAGGGTGGCTGTTCAGTGCGCGCTATCAGACGCGATCTTGGAATAGTTATGGTCAGCTTATGTATACGTAGCACAATTTATAATTTTTTGTTTTGTGAAGACTCCAGAACTCATATTGGGCAGCGTCCATCTCTTTCTTAACTATAACACCGTGATCTCCACTAGTACCGTTTCTTGCTCAGCGTATGCTGTCGCACAAAATTATCGATCTCGATTCCCAATACGCCGTGAAACCTATGTTTGACCTCACTTAAACCTTTCCTATTCAAGTTCGGATATGCACTATAAAATTGCTACCTTAACAGATGATTTCATACAGTGGCATCCAATTTGGTTTGCTTCAGTTTGTTTTGCTATCTTACCGATCAAGTGCGACTAAATTACGGGTGCTCTGTCGATTCACGGTTCACGACACCAAACAACATGGTTGTTTGGCGCTTTCAGAACCAACGCGTTTTGCTAACAGCAGACACACCGCAGCATCGTCACGGTACACCTGATGATCAAGCTGTTAGCAGCCGTATATAACTAACCGTGGGACACCGGATTATTACCATCAAATTTAGAAGTTTAACCTTTATATCGCTTGATCTGCCAGTGATTTGATCGTTCCAATTTTTTTATCAGCTTCTTGATACCACCTCAGAATTTCACTTATCACCACAGTACTCATTGCGCATACGATGTTTCATCATCAACTTTTACTAACGATAAGAACTTTTTTGGATCATGAAATCAGTGGCAGAGATTAAGGTCTAAAATTAATTTGTGATGGGTTAAATCTGCATTCAGTCAACCGTTCACTTCATATCGAAGTACTTTTTTACTTTTTATAAGCCGGCTACTAGCTTGATACTCAGTTGTACTCTAACGATGCTACGAAGTGTGTAGTGAAATACGTTGGTACTAGAGGAGTGAAAATCTACATGCTTCCCTCAGCCCTGTTCCGGTGCTTCAACTGTAGTTTCATTTAAAAAGACTATAGTAGCTACATGTTGTTAGAGCGCCTGCAGTTGATGGATTTATCTAAAGTGATTTAATTCCCTGTGGGAGTTTCGCTAATACTAAAAATAGTCTACAGGAACCCTCATAGTTGCGATGGTTTAGGCATGTCG